TTTTTGAGTATCAGAAAAGGTTTTATGAAGACACTAACACTGTTGGATGCCGGCTCAGTGGTCTAGTAGTTAAGCGCTAACGCGCGAGACTGATAGATACTGGGTTCGAATCTCGCGAGATGGAATAGTTGATGTACACTGCTGAGGAGTCGCATAATAGGACGAAACGGCTGCCCAGTGCTTCCAAGTTTTCTATGGTGATCTAGCTTTAATTGACTCATGTTCTCAACTATTGAAATATTTTTTATTTAAAATTAATTATGATTGTTTTTGTTTTACTTCAATTGGTGATAATACTTTTAAGCTAACTTTCAAATGTGATCTCATAAAAATATAATCAAAAAATAAGTCAGCATTTGATGTTTATCTCAATATTCTAGATTTGTATGATAAATTAAACAAAATTTAGCTACGACATACAACTGCATCATTCATGTGACCAAATTTATCTCTAATTGTTAGGTACAACCTAACTGTGAGTAATATTTGGTTACTAAAATACAGCTCCCTATACATTTTGTCTCTTTAATTTTGAAAGTTTATATTAATCAAAAGTTGGAAGTATGATTTACTAACTTAAACTGATGGTAATTCATATCATTATCAATGATCACGTTTTACATGCGTAATATATATTAGTACTGAATAGTGCACTGTAAAAAGATTGGTAATTTTTTTCGAATCCATTAAGTTTCATTACGAAAAACAAAAGTTAAAAGTTCGAAACATCAGATTGCCGATTTCCAAAAAAATTGGCAAGACTCTAATTTATGGACGGCCTTTGAACGAATCTTCAGTGACCTTGAGAAATATTAGCCAATCACCAAACGGTCAGTATACAGCAAAAAAAATATATTATACAAAACCATGGAAATAAAGTGGTTACACTTCTTATACATGGTTCGAAAACTTGTCAAGGTTAGAAAGAGGTTCACAGGTTCTAAAATCGTTATGCATTCAGTAGAGGAAATCGTCCATATGGCTACAGAACAGTCAGCGTCTGGAGCCATGATAGTCTCGAAAACTATTTCAGACTCGAACACATAGCTTCAATATTGTTTATGTGCACTCCGTTTGTTGAGTGCACAAAATGCTACTTATGGATAACGACACGATGCACATAACCAAGCCTATGTAGGAATCTGTACACTCTCCAAACATCCGTATATACTGTGGTATCTGGTTGCAGCCAGTGTTACTGGTGCTTTCATTATCCAGTTCGCAATAATTTTCGTAATTTACCCCAGTTGGGAATTATATATGTGGTTTTCATCACGAACTGACATCATCTATAATGCCGGAAATTTATTTAGCCAAATGGATGAAAGGCTTTCGCGTTAAAATCCGAGATCTATTATCTTATACATGAATGATTCGTCCACATATTATAGTGTCACCGTTTTATCTGTTATAGTCGCTCAATTATCACGTTTTGTACAAAATTCTCTGTGAACCGATCTAACGTTAGCATTAAGCAGTGAAGTTAGAGTCGTAACCTTGAAATCCCTAAACCGCTTCTGATTGGCTCGTCCATAAATTAGGGTTTCGCCAAAAAATTTTAAACATTTGATAAATAAAAAACAACGATCGTAGTAGCGAAAAAGAAACCACGACGATCTTTTTTTTGAAAGAAAAAGAAAACGGAAGTCTGAATTGAAACGTCTACTATGGAATGGATTTTTTTTCACTTCGGTCTTCAGTGTTTTCTTAAATTAATTTCTATTTTATTGGAATCATATTTACAAAAAAAAAAGAAACATAAGAGTTCATTCATAATTTTTTTTTAACTTCTACCCATAGAACTTGATTGAAACTGATTGATTTCGACTTCTTTTTTCGATTTATCTCATTTCATTACAGTCAACACAAACAATTTAATGCTCAGCTAGAAAATTCTGATTCAACTTGTTCAGGATTGGCTTCTCTAGAGTTTGCATATTGGCTTTTGGCTTGAATTCATCATTTACAGTGTACATTTTTTCTACTAAAAACAATAGTATACTATAAATAAACAATATATTTGTAATATCCCAATGAGTAGAAAATTAGATTTTCTGACGTTTCGTGACTTAGTTTAAGTCACTTCTTCAGAGAATAAATCTATACTATATTGTATGTTATATTTTTGTGATTTAATGAAGTTCAAGAAGTACATTTATCACTCATTAGAGATACAACTATACTACTGAATTTGTACAAATCTTATCATGAACTTGTGATGTGTGGGCGAGAATGATAATGATTGGTCATCCGCTTAGTCACACATGTAGATAGTCTGATAGATGGCAGATGAGTTATATATTCCTTTATCCCCATTAGTCTGACCCACTTATTATTGATTGTTCATTGTTGTTAGATTGTGTCGGGTTTTTGGTGTGGAAATATATTTACATTGTGGTCAGGTTAATCACATGTTCGTGATCTGTGTTGTGTTGACGTCCTGTAGAATAGACAGTGGGAGAGAATCTAGTGTAAATATTCGTCTAAGGTAAATTAACGTCCTATACGTGTAAGCGTGAAAACCCAACGGTTATAACATTAGACGAAGTAAAACCGAGCGTTCTAACAACTTGAATATTCCATACTCAGATTAAATTGAAGATTTAATTACAAATCATATATAGGTTGAGGTTATCCACAACATTTTTTTGTTTAATAAGTGCGTTATATTGAACATTTTCAATCGTTTCTCATCTATTTGTTATTTGAAAGCTGCATTGTAATTTTTACTTAAGGTTTCGTTGTGATCTCTTATTTTTATTGTGTTTGTACTTTTTTGTTCGACATATTGGGCTATACTACACCGACACGTTCATAACAGTCAGTTGAAGATAAGTCAAGATGGTTGAAACGATATATTTAGTGGGATTTTCACTCTGACATTCAACATTCATGTAATAAATGAGTGGAAAGATACGTGATACAACACACAGAATACTGGTAAAGCTGTGAATAAGTCCAGTCCGTAAACATGCACAATGCTTTAATGAGGCTGACGAATTTACTGAGATTAGCGAGTTATTTACACTGGAAAAAAAAATCTCTTTTGATAAAAGAATTTGTAAACATGAGGGAAGGCTAATTTCTTATTAAACTATGAGTGCTGTTTTGGAAAGTAAACAAGATCCCATTCTGTCATTACACAATTATTGTCATTTCTTCAACGTGATGAGGCATATGTACACATCAGTAAAGTCTTTAATTTAGTGAATTACTATTAACACGATTTCCTTGACAATCAAGTTCGAATTAATATAAACCGTATTATTTCGTTATTAGTAAACCAACTAATCTTATGTACTACAAAGAGGTTTTTTGAAGTCACTAATTAAACAACCGTTAGGTAGCAGGACTATTCAATTTCCACATAGATTACGCTTATTTATGTAGCTTCTTCTGTATGCATTAGACGAACACTCCAATGATCAAATATGTTGAATGGGATTCTATGAATAACTTTAATCGACTACGTTTACATCATTTTTATTGTCTTTTGTTTTATCATGAAGAACGATGATTAGTAACGAAATAATGAACATGCTAAATCGTATATTAAATGAAAATAACTCAATAAAACTAGCTAAATTGGTAAATCCACAGAAATGTACAGGAAATGAACATCTGGTTTTCATTTCGTGAACTGACATTTATACGTTCAAGGGATAACAATGACCCATTTAAAGTGTTTCTAGACACCATATGACTAATAAATTGACTATATTCATTGTAAAATCTTAGTAGTATTGTCGAACAAGTAAAAGTCCAGTTTGTCTCTTTGAATAGCATCATCATTAATACCCCCAAATGCCCTGGTACGGCCGAGAGTGGGGAGAGTCCGCTCTCCCTCTCGAAATGCTCTTACATGGTCACGCGTATATAGCTTCTGCCAGGGAAGTCCTACTCACTGCCTTCTCGTGGCAGGGGTGTTGTTTACGAAAATGAGAGGAAGCGAATATCCGGCGCTTTAACCGGATTCCAAATCAATGGTGCACATGGGCTCCAGTATCCTGAGGGAACAAATGGCGTATGAACCAATTGTTGGTCACCGGCTTCCATGGGACTGCATCTCCTTACGATGTTCCACTGCCTTGTGGATCAGACCCTCAGGTCGAAGGCTCCGTGTGTGGCCCCCTAAGAAAACCACCTGTTTCGGTTTGGGCACGCGGGCAGTATCACAGCCCTCACACACATATCGAATGAGATTTGTGTGGCGCATATGTATTTGATGCCTCTTTGTACAAATATCTATGTGTTGAAATAAAATAAATAAATCATAGTGTCGTTGTGAGGTAAAGATGAATATTGTTTGAAATGATAATGAAATCTTCTCAGTTTGACCATATGGCTCAGAGAATACAGTCTCACCAAGTACATTAAACCTTGTTACTAATCCTCTTTATCACTCAAGTGCCATAAATATCGATATAAACGGGTGAGCAATCACATTATGAGTAGCATCATTTTGTTTATCATTTCATATTATTTTTAATGAAATTCAAATTTTGAAAACGAAATCAGAACTTTACTTGTTTATGTCCACTTCAAATAGAACGAAACACACGTCTTGGATTCTACTGCTAGCCACTATCCATTTTTGTTTATAATGCTTGTGAATTAAGGTAATATCGAGGCAACACGCGCAGTGTGCACATATGCAGTTCTAAACATCAATGGAAAGATTAAAGTAAACAATACCAAGTGAATTTAAACTTCACTCCATTACACAAGCAAATGGCTATCAGGATTCAGTAGCTAGGTGAATAATACAATGACGTTTGAAGCGAACGGTACTTGGTTCGAGTCTCAAAATGAACATCAACTCTGATATGCAGGTACATCTAGTTGACAACTCCCAGATAAGAAGAAACACGCGTCCTGGATTCCACTACAAACCACTATCGTACATTCCTTATCAATCAGAAACTTCTTTAAAACAAAAAAAAATTATGTAAATATTATTTCAACTTATTTAAATTGAAATGATGATATCACTTTATTAAATGACCTACAATATACAATTATTTAGAGCCTCAGTCCTTGAAATTAATAATAATAATAACAATAATAATTTAGATTCTATACAAAATTGGTATGTCCTAATTATATTTTATTTCAAACAAATAACTAAATAATTTGGCATTATTTAATAATGTATTCAATTATGAAATAATAATAACAGTAACAATAATGATGATAATAATAATGGTAATAATAATCATGATAGTAGTAATAATAATAATGATAATGATAATCATAATATTAATAATAATAATAATAATAATAATAATAATAATAATAATGGTTATGGTAATCATAATGGTAATCATAATCATAATAGTAGTGATAATAATGGTAATGATAATCATAGTATTAATAGCAATAATAATAATAATAATAATGGTAATGATAATCGTAATATGAATAGTAATGATAATAATAATAATAATAATAATAATAATGGTAATAATGGTAATGATTAAAATAGATTTAATAAATAATTGAAATCTAATCTAAGATAAAAGTAACAAGTAAATAACTTTTTTTTCATTCAATCAATTTATTTATTAAAGGTGTTGTATTATTCATGTCAAGATTGATTATTATTTCATTTAATGTTATGATGATTGATTTCAAGTAATTAATGATTTCAAATTAATTGATTTTATTACATGATAATAATCTAAATCAATTCAGTATTATCAGTCAATTTCATTAATATTAAGCTATTAGAAATAGTAATTATTCATTGAATTTGTATTGAATAAATTAGCATGAAGACATTGAAATTGAATTATTTATTTAATGTTAGGAATTTTTTATAAAAATTTGTAAGAATCTATAAAAGAATGATTAGATATTGATGAATTATCAGATATGGAATTAGGTTTTGAAATGTTTCCATAGTATCTAATCAGCATTTATGATTAAACAATCATTAATCATTGTAGCTTATTAAGTTTGATTAGAGATTTATTTGTTTACCTTTTTAAGCTAATGATCTACATGATTTTTATCTTGAAGTTCCATGTGATTATCATTTATGAAGTTTTCAAAGTTACTTAATTGATAGATTTCAATAGGGCTAAAAAAAATTTATTCTTTTTTTCATTGTTATGAAAGATAATCATTGTCATTGAAATAAAACTAGGATAATCTAATTCTAATCTAAATCTAATTACGCCTGTTACTCCTCGTGAAGGAGCATAGGCCGCTCATTAGCATTCTCCATCCAACCCTGTCCTGGGCAATCCTTTCCAACTCCTTCCAGTTCCTATTCATCCTTTTCATATCTGCTTCTATTATCCTACGTAATGTGTCCTTCGGCCTTCCTCTTTTCCGCTTCTCTTCAGGATTCCATGTTAGGGCTTGTCTGGTGATGCAGTTTGATGATTTGCGTAATATATGTCCTATCCATTTCCATCGTCTTTTCCTAATTTCTTCTTCAGCTGGAAGCTGATTTGTTCTCTCTCACAAAAGGCTGTTGCTGATGATATCCGGCCAATGGATGTTGAGTATCTTGTAAAGACAGTTACGTCTGCATCTGAGCCTCCTCGTCCATCGATGATGCTTCCCAGGTAAGTGAAGGATTCTACATCTTCTAGAGTTTCGCCATCAATAGTGATTGGATTGCTGTTCTCCGCCCTGAATTTGAGGATCTTGGTTTTCCCTTTGTGTATGCTGAGGCCTACTGATGCAGAGAACTAGGATAATACCATTGTATATATCTGCATATTAAAATAAATGGAAATTAAAATACTGTTATCAGTATCAACAATGGAATAAGAAAACTGATCAAATCATCAATAGAGAAGAATCGCTAGTAATTTGAAAACTTTGGTTTTCTTACTTGATAAACTACATGTTATCAAACGTTTTGATATTTTCTTGTTATGTAACAATTGGATAAATATGTGACTGATGTGAATTCTTTTAGAGTTTTTTATCCATATGAATTATCATTGGAAATGAATAATTTTCATAGGATAGAATACTTTTTAAAATGGGATCACCTTGTTACATTCCATTATTTATTCATCTCATCATTAATAAACAAAGTTCACTTCAAACATTAATTTTGTGTTATGTTCTAATTATAGTAGGAAGCATTAAACTTTTTAAAGCATCATTCCATAAAAAATTCATACAAATGATAAGTTGTTATAATTTCATAGCTTTTCATCTATATGCAGAAAAAACACCCTATTCGTTCCTGTTAATCAAGACTATGTACATAATGTTGTTTAAGAAGAATCTGAACGTTTAAGATGTAAGGTGGTAGAAAGTAACAACTGAAATAAGAAAAGCTCCTTATTTATATATTTCATGTAGCACATGGAGAAACTTATGTCCTGTCGTAACTTGTAAGAACAATGAGTTAGGATAACCTCTACTTTTTTGATGACTCAGTCTATTACGAAAGTATTTGACATCCCGTTTTGTAATATTGTAGGTTCAAACCTCTATGTCTACTTCTTCACGATGTTTTAAAGTCTTCGACATCTATTAACCAAGATTTATTCTATATTTAGTCAAAATTCAACGAAAAGTCTTATTAAGATTCTGTTATTTATACATACATTCACTAACTTATTATTCTCCAACTTTTAAATACACCAGTAAATCTTATCGCTTACCTTACAGTCACCTCTAATATTTAAATCATTTCCTTTATTAATCAATGTGATTAAATTATTGATACTGTTTAGTCAACTTAAGAGTTGATTTCTAAATGTATCATAGTTTTTCTCTCAATTTGCCAATTTATTTGATCTACTTATAAACTACTGACAAGTAGCCTAAAGCGATTTCTAAAGTAATATAGCTTATATGTAAAAGTTTTTTTTTCATAAAAAATGAGTTGATAATAGGGTTGTTAAAGTTTAAATTAAATTCAAGTGATTGAAATGCCAAATTTCCTGAGAGAATATTGAGTCAAACAGCCTAATGTGTATTAAATTAAATTGTGATTTGTGCTACTTATATCGACATGAGTAGTATATAACGATAGTCAGGATTGGAATATCTGACAGCAGAAGGTCAAGGAAGGAAAGAACGGAAACAGAAAGCAATTGCCAAGGAAATGCAGGAAATATGAAGTTTGAGACAATTGATTGTTATTTTGCAAATGAATTATTAACTATATAGTTCTCAGATTTTAGTAAAATGTTCTGTAATGTTGCGTTGATTGTCTTCACTTGTGTTCTCGTTCACCACAAAACAACTTTAGAATAATGAACTATTTTTGTCTAAGCTATGAATCGTTTGATTTTATGTCCTAATCACGTAACAACTGTATCGTTTAATCTTTCATATTTATGATTAACATCTCAGTTATTTATCTCAATGATATTTAAACAAAATAATCCTAAGTAGTAACTTTTCATAGAACCGTTTATTTGTTGTTAGTATGAACAACATCTCGAAATTAGTTAAACCGATCAACACATCCAGTTGACCAAAACACTTCAAGGTGATTGATGACAAAAATAATTTAGATTTTATTACCTGTCAATATTTTTTATCAAATAGCCAAATTGTTAGTCTAAAACGATGTGTAGTGAACAGAACACGGGTGGAGACAATCGAATGGATTTAACACAAAATTACAGGACTTGATAATAAAATCTAACAATCATATAGTAAATGCTTAATTTGCAAAATGTCCACCACTTGTCTGAAAATGACTCAGGCTTTATTGTTCTTGCATTTTCATACAAATTGCATCCTGTTTCCATTCGTTACTGTTCGATCCTCTTGTCTCTCTGCTTCCAGACTTTCTGTTCACGAGTAACATCATATACTACTTATGTCAATATAAGTAGCACACACCACAGATATATGTCAAAAAAACTCCTTGAAAATCAATATTTATGATGAAGTTTTATATTGAATTGGTGTAAAGACTTTATGTGTTTGATTAAACTTTAAAGAGTTTTCTTACGAATCTAGAAAGCTTTTAATTATAAACAATTACCTGTCTGAAAATAACTTAAGTTTGTTATGAATTATATCATCAACAAGTGAGATTTGACTTTAGATTATTAATTTTTCGCTGACAATGAACATGTACTATTGTATAGAAACGGTTACTGATGTTCAGTGTGTGTCAACGCTACATTTTGCTTTCTCTTCTTAGATAATGATGGCAAAGTCAATCAAACGAAAAGATGGAATGTAAAGACACATTCGAATTATAGATTGAAGTATTGTATTTTTCGTAGGAGGTATGCAGCTAGGTATACCCAAATGTATTCTGGTGAGGACACTTGACCAAGCTCTTTTATCTAGACTTGTTCAGTAAATCAATGAGTTCCATACCAATTTCTAGAACCTTTTAAGCCATTCATTTACCAATAGATATTAATTATAATTACTTCTCGTACTCAAACAAGTCCAAAATATAAATGAACAGATTGAGCGAGACAGAAAGAGACCATAATGATGTAGAGTGTAAAAAATCTGTTCAAATTTTTACACATAAGCCAAACAATATGATTAAAGTGTTATTAATTACAAAGTCGTCAAAGATCACTTAAATTACGTGTTTTCACCAGGGTATTTTAATGAACTATTGCAATGCTGACATGCTCACATCTGAAATTTTTAAGAATGACAACCCTATCGCAACACACTTTTAACATATCTGCATGCACATTGAGTATAGTTTAACCATATATCTTCAGAAAGTTAAACATTCTAAGGATAATCGTATAAACCATTTTTTTCTTAAAATTTAGGGATGCTTACTCTGAAGAAGTCTAGACAAGTTAGCTGGACGAAACGGTGGAATTACTTAAATTTCAATTGCTGAGATTATTCTAAATATAATCTTCACACATAATACCTATAGTTTAGTTTATCAAATTATAACTTTGTATCAAAGAAAAATATTGTTACATAGAACTGGCATCAATATTCAATCAAAAACAAAAAGAATGCAGTAGAATGTGTTTTGTTCTGTATGCTTTGGTCGTAAGCTCAAAACTTGCTCCATAAGTTTCAAGATGATAAAGGAAATTAAGCTTTCACTTCTATTTAACTTCATACAAATTGGTATGGATAAATTGTTATGAGGAGAAAGAACTAACATACATCAATTCAAAAAACAAGAAGAAAAGACTAAAGCATAAAAAAGTAGCACAACGTAGTCACAGAGTTAAAAAGTTGGAAAAGGACATAAGTAATCAATTATAGATTAACTCAACGAAATCACTACATAGAACTTCAGCCGAAATTAATAGATTCTGAAAATGGTTAGAATAAAAGAAGAAAATGGTGATTATCCCTCTCAAAACTGTTTTAGCCCAAAGCCGTCAATCAGAAGCAGAGGATTATCAACCGGACCAAGGACGCGCAAAACACGTGCGAGCAGCCTACAGTTCTGATTGGTCCTGCTTTCTGCTTAACCCAACCAGTTAAGTCCAGAACACCAGTCTCAGACTCTGCAATATGTATCATTAATTTCAAACATACTGAGTTT